TAAAATCTGTCAGAGCTAATCTAATATATTTAGAATAATGACAAATTACAGAATATTGGAAAAACCGTCTGAACAACCTTGACTTTTTACTAATTCAAACTGTCAGGCATATCATTTCCATGATGTGGCGAAGTATGAAAAAATTTCACCGAAGGAAAGTATAAATATTAAGGACTTTCAAAGGTCAAAATGAGGAATATATCTGCCTGCCATTAGATGGGATGTTGCCATGGTAATGGCCTTAATCCAAAAATTGACAACCAAAACATAAGCCTTATTTTAACAGCACCCATACTGGTAAATATCTACATGGAAAACTTTAAGAGAAATTAACTAAGGTTCCTTTTCTTACTCGCGCTCTATAGGGAGGGTGTTCGTAATAACTCTAGGGAGCCACGTTAACTGAAAAAAGCCGGAAGCCAAAAAAACAGTAAACGAAATAAAACTTCATTTTGTTATCCACCCGCATAAAATATTCAATTAACAAAAAATGTTTGGTTCTGTTTTAATAATTCATTTATTATCATGCAAGGGAAAGGTGTTTCAAAATTTAAACTATTGTACAAGGTACACAACTATTGCTCCCGGCGAGAAAGGATGTATTGGCATTCGCGTAAGTAAAAAGGCTACGATTTCTGACAGATCTCAGGATAGTAGAAAGTACAAGATGCCATTAATTTACCTTTGACAATGTTTAGAAATCATACGTAAATCTTGCTGATTGGTTTGGTTGAGTTCTTCTTCTTTTTTTTGCCATAGCATCAAGCTTTGAAAAGCGTGCTTCGATGTTTTCAGTGCGTTCGTTAAAACGATATCATAAAGCAAACAAAGAAAGGATAGCCATGTATTGCTATGCTTTTGAAGCAAAATCGGAGAAGACTAAAAATATAGAAAGCAGTCGACTGTGGCTGCCAGTTAATAGATTTTTTCTCGTATTCTTAGATGCTTGTCGTATTTTATGAGATGCAGTGTAACACCTGGGTATGGTTTCTTTATCTATTAGAGAGAGCGAGAACTTATAACTTTGCTCAGTTACGTAGTCTTGGGAATGCTTTCTGCCATTTCGATACCAGGAGTATTCTAAAAAATTATGCTTATAAACTAACTTTGAATTTTATTGACTTTTCAAATTTACAGTTTGTGAAGATAACCCGAGCTATGCAGATGCTTGTCCAGAGAAAGCTGCAGTTAAGGATTACTGTCAGGACCAAGAGAATTTTATGAGGAAGAACTGCCCGAAGTCTTGTGGATTCTGTATTAACGGTGATTGGCTAAATGTTGTAACACTTCCTCACATTTCCCCAAACTATTCCCTTTTCTTTTCCTTTGTCCGCTATGTTGAATTCTCAACTGGTAAGTTACAAAATGAGCTAAGTGAAATGTTTTTAGATGCAATTAACTAAAATTTGCTGTTGAGGAATTGTAAACCCCTAAAACTACCACAAATAAAAAATTCTTCATTTTTTATCTGCATTTTTAAAGAGATATTTCTTATTACTAATTGAATATTCTTTTACGAAATGATTGATTGGTGCATATAATTTGCTTATTTCAGAGCCTGTAAAGCCTCCTGCGCCAGCTGGTAACATTTTTTATTTCATTTAATCATAATGGTAGTGTTAAAATAACATTTTAAGGGAATGCATATTGTCATTTCGTACGGATGTAAAGTGTCACAAACAGAGAGACAACAAATCATCAAAACAAATTATAGTTATGGCTACTTCTAGTTTTAAATGTCTTTTAAGATGTTATTAGGAAATATCAAGTAAATAAGTATATAAAGTAAAACTTGATTTTGTTATTAGGACTATAGAAAGTACTTGAGGTGGCTGCCGGTTTATTTAAATTATCTCGTGTTCTTAAATGCTTGCCGTAATTTATGAGATGTTGTGTAACACTCGGCTATAAGGGCTATGGCTTGTTTATCTGTTAGATAAATAGAGAACTTATAATTGCACTCAACTTTGCAGTTTTAGAAATGTATCGTAGCATCTCCATGTCATGAGTAGTCTGAAATTTTTGCGCTTGTAAATTAACTCAATTTAATGGACCTATTTACCGATGTCACGCAATATCAACAATGTTTCGTATCTCTCATATAAACAACAACAAAAAAACATCCATAGATATATTTTCCATGCCGTATTTGTTTGTATGAAAAATTCGGAAAAGCGTGGCATCGGTGAAAAGGTCCATTGATTTTTGAAAATTGACAGTTTGCGAAGATGACCCGAACTATGCTGATGCTTGTCCAGAGAAAGCTGAAATTAAGAATTACTGTCAGGACCAAGAGAAGTTTATGAGGAAGAACTGCCCGAAGTCTTGTGGATTCTGTTTTAACGGTGATTAGCTTAATGCTTTCAATATATTTAGTCATGAAATATCAGAGAAACTATTTTGTGTTTTTGAAGAAGACATCTGTCTCATTGACTGCGGATCTTTGGTCAAGTTGGGAGGGGAGGGTTGCCTGGAAACATTATTATATAAAGTTTTTATTTGCAAATTTGATCAAGCGATCAAACCAATAAAGCCAAATAGGGGCTTTTGGACCAATTTGTATAGAGTCTATGATGAGAAATATTTTCGCTGGGAGAAATCAATAGGCCTTTTGCAGGATCCCGTCACATGGTACGGAATAAATTATGCTGGGACGGAAGTTACGCAGTGGGATTTCCAAAACAAAGGAACTCGTACCAGTCCAGCACGACTTTCAATTCAATCCTCAGCAAAATTACCGTGGCGCTTTCTTTAATCAACCCGAATAACAATTTCATTTTGTTGTTTGAGTTCTCAAAACTCCTTGTCTATTTTATTTTCGCAATATAAAATTTCACTATGTCGAAGAAACACACAATATTAGTAGCCTCTTAGCGTTGGCAAAAACTGTCGCATCATCTCAGCACAAAAGATGGCGAAAAAATACTTTATCAAGATTATGCAAATTTGCTACTTGTACGGTTCAGACTTTCTTGCTCACCAAACAAGCAGAAACAATAACAAACTGATCGAAAACAGATTTTGGTTATGATTCTGCATTGTTTTGAG